ATTTCATATATCCTATAATTTTCTTACTAAATCTTTGAGCAACTTAATGGTTTATAATTATTAGGAAGTACTGCAGATTTTGTTTTATCTTGCTAATTTTCAGCAGTGCAGAAGTTATTTAATTGGTAAGTAATACTGTACTGCTTTGATAAATGGAAAATTACTTAAATTGTCTTGTTACTTCTCTAAGGTCTGGATTTGCATAGTTTATTCACTGTTTTTAATTAAAGTAGCAAGACGTTTGAGTAGTTCTGTACTTGATCAGGGTGGTTCTACTTTACTTCCCCTGTCCTCTGAGGTACACCAGTTTATTGCCGTTTCCAGATGAGGGGAAAAAAAAGTCAAGACATCAACAGCTGTCAAGAAGTTTCAGAAGAGGTGTACTGGGTTCTTGAGGTGTTTCTAAAGGTACAGGCATATTTGTAAATAGGATTTTTAGATGCTGCTTAGCAAGTATTGAAATAGTTATTTCAGAATTGTTGATTTGATCAGATAAAGTTGTCTCTGAACATTAACCCATGATGGTCTGACTTTTTCCTTGTTTTCTATGAAGTTTTAGAACTCAGGTTTTCTTTGACTAATTTAAATTTTGATGTGGAAGAAGCTGATGTTTCAAGGAGAGGGTTTTTTCTAGTTAATTTGTTATCTATACTGAAGGTAATACTATAAAGGATTGATGGTAACCTCAGCCCAGAGGAGTTTTATAATGTATTTGGTTTTGAAATAGTTATTTTATCTGTGGTATTATAGAAAGTATTTCAGGAAACAGAAAACTGCTGTAGTATTTTCTGTTGGTGGTTGGTTTTGTTTTGTGTTGTGTTTTTTTTAAGCTACAAACACCTTACTTCTCACTCTCAAGAAGATGTTTCACCCATCTATTTTGATAAAATCATTCTCACCAGCATCTTCCAGTTTCACTGAAATAGCAGAAGGGAGGAAAAAAACAAGTCGCTGTTTTCCTGCCCTATCACTCAAAGCAGTTTCCCTAGACTATCATCTCTCCATTTTAGAGACATTAATTATTGGTAGTTTACATAGTTATTTTGAGCATTAACTACCCTCATAGCCTAGTTTCCACCTCACAAATGACTATAGTCCAGGAGACTTATCACTTCAAAGGTCTTCTTGGACAATGGTCTGAGCCCTTTCATTTTTTTACATTCTTTTAGTAGTTCCTTGTTCACTGGGCCACCAGGTCCTCCTGACACTGTGCCTTCTGTAGCCACAGGTGCTGTGGCTGTAGGTGCTCCTCTGGAGCAGAGCAGCAGCTGTCCCATAGTGCAGGGCTGCTGGTCATCACCCCGTCTCTTGTCCAGGACAGTTCTCTAAAGCAAGCCCTGGCTTGGCTAATCATCACCTGATTGCACCATTGCTTCAGTCTGGAGAGACAGGCAGCCCTTGGTGCTGTTGCACCTCAGCATGGGAACATTTGGCTTTGCCTCTGCTGGGCTCTTCCTGAGGGAAGCCAGAGCCTGTGTCCATCATCCACCTGCTGTAGTAGCTGACTTTGTAATCTCTTTTCTAACAGGTTGCCCTCTCTTGGCTTTACAACCTTTGGGTTTTTTCTTTTCTTTCTGACTCTCATCATCCTTGCCCTTTTCCTTGATGTCTCTGATCTGCCCCTGCTGTCTCTTGCTTTGTCCTGCCTTTCTGTCAGTACCCTCTGTGCAGACAAGGCCTTAACACTGTGTCTACACTGAAGACTCAAGATTTAACTCCCTCTGTCAGACCCTTTGCAGTGTTGATCCCATTGGCCTCATTTAGCTCAGTTTCTTTGGGGTGCGGGGTGTTAATTCTGTGTTGGGACTAAGTGTCCTGGGGTGGGAATGGGCAGCCATGCTTCTTTTGAACTCTCAAGCTCTTCTGTTTTTACAACTGTTTAAATAACAACTTTAATAACCTTGGTTCAAGATAGTAAACAGTTTGATTTGCATTCAAACATATTTAAATGTCCTCTTCAATAAGTGTATCTAGTCTGGGTGTGTTCCAGGCATCCATGTCTTATCTTTTCTACTTTACCAACTACCTTACTGCATGTGGTAACAGTCTAATATTCCACGGTGCTTTCCCACATAAGTGTTAGTGCAACTGAAAATTACAGGTGTTGTAATCTCATTTGAAAATTATCGTTGTGATACTTTAAAGCTGCATTTACCAATGGCTTCATGACTCTTACTAAAAATTGCTTTAGTCTGACAAAACTGTATCACTTAGTCTCGTGTTTACCTCAGCTTTTGTGGTTAACTCTAGCAGCTCAGCAGGCTCCAAATTTGGATTTGGGGAGATCTGGAGTGATTTGTAAAAGAAACTGATTTTCTTGAACTACTCCAAGCTCTGAAGTTTTGAAATGCAGTTTAAGGTATTACACTCATGTTTTATGATGACCTATGAAATATGACCCAAATTTAGCCTTGCTGTCACATCCTGAGAAATCTTGAGCTCTACATGATGACTCTGAAGCTCTAACACTTGGTGTGACGGTATCCTTGGTGTTCTGCTGTGGCCCATGTCAGTGATGCTGTTGGTCAGCAGCAGCTCCTTCAGCCAGGAGGCTCTCAAGCTGTTGCCACTTTGGTTGGTTTGATTTTGCTTTGTTTTGTTTTGCTCCTGGTAATCCTAAACAGCAGAGAGTTGTGTGCTGAGAAATGCAGCAGTGAGAAAGGGCAAACCATCAAGAGCCAGAACTTTAACAGGAGGGAGAGTAGTGCCACGGGTGGATGGGGAGTGCAAGGTCACCAGGATGCAGTGTTAACACCTCAAGTTCTTAAATGTCCAGTTGTTTTAACACACGTTAACAAAACCCACTGGAAAAGTGTGTCATCCTCCCCTGGTAGTGAGGAGTGATTCGCTGCCGGTACCAGCAAGGCTGTTAATTAGTGCGTGTGATTGAGAGCGCTCTGGGGAGCCTTCATGTTTCTGTTCTGAATGAGGTTTCTGTCTCTAGTATTCCTGCTTCGTTTATTGAAAAATTGGAACATATTAATTCAGGGAGATGCAGGAAGCAAAAGCATCAAATGCCCAAGGAAGGTAAATGTTTCCTGGCAAATTGGAGTGTTCTGATGTGGCGTGGGTTGTTGTGACTTATGTGTAATTAACCTACAGTAGTTCCAGAAGAGATGCTCTGTACATTACTGTGCTATATATTATTGCACTAGTTGCATAGTTATGGCAGTGACAAGTTATGCTTTTACCTTTCCAGTGATTTTAATCCAGTCTTACCTCCTTTAGTTAGCTTAGTTTGAAAAAGAAAGAGTTATACTTGGTGATTCCAGTACCCTGGGTACCGAAGTGCCTTCATTCTGTAAGGATCACCCCCCAGCTGCTATTTATAATCTTAGCCTTTTACCCACAATCCACCTTTTAAAGGGAAATTTCTTTTCACTGCAGTAATCTGGTTTTGACCAGTAGTGGGAGTGGGAAAGGGAAGGAGGAGTGTGAATTAGTAAGGAGATGTTGCATTAAAGTAAGCGTGTGATGCCTAACAGCTTTATTTTTAATAAAGATGCACAATTAGCTGAAAGTTTGGGAGGGTCTTCTTGTTGGTTTTTCTAACGTGGAGTAAACATTTCCCAGCAAATTCAATAAACAGATAATAAGTATGTTTCATAGTCTAATTTACTAACAGTTGTTCCTTATTCCCTATATAATTATAACACTTTTCTGGTGTGTTCACTTCGTCCAGGGATATGAAAAAAATTAGAAAGCCTTAAAAGACCTGGTAGGTAGATGTGCTCATGATTTTGATTAGTATATCTTCTTTATTGAGTGTTTTTGCTTGGTATTATAATGCTGCTGTAATGTATTTTGCTTAATAGTTCCATAATACTGAGTGTAATGTGTTTGTAAATGTGATTTGAGCCAGCATTGTTTAATTTCTCTATTTCATATAAATTTATAGCTCATTTCTGTATATATTTTGGCAGCTCAAGATAGTAAAATCTTTTCTGTAAAAGCTCTTAGATATACTTAGGGTCGTGCAAAAACCTTACTCTTACTTGTGATAGATGTGACTTATACTGGAAATCCCATGTAACTAGAAATGTGGAACCATTTTGCAAAATAGCAAAGTATTGGTTTGTTTAAAGTATATATAGGCTGATTTTCTCTTGAACTGACTAAAACCCAGATGTATTTCTCCTGGAACAGAAGAGCTAGGAGCTAGGAGTGCATTGGTGGAGTTTTTTTTTCTCCCTCCTCTTTGCAGTGAAATGGTACAAATATGTTGATGTACAGGAAAGCTGGAAGGAGTTTGTTGTTCATTTTTTTTTAGGGGGAATTTTTCCACTTCTCTCTCATGGTCCATGATTGGAAATGTAAAAAGAGACAAGCAATTAAAAAAGGGAATAAGAAGTGGAGTTTGACTTCATTGTTAAACACCTGGTGGAAGAAAGTAATTAAAATGTCTACCTCAGCTCCAATATTTTCAGATTGAAAAGAGTAGGATAAGAATTGCATTAAAAATTTGTTTTGCAGACTTAAGGAACTGAGGATCTTTTTGAAATTTTAATTATTTTCTTGGGTGCTGGGTTGTGTGAAGAGTTGAGAAGTGCAGTAAATCTGGAAGTGATGGTCAAAGTTATTAGCAAATATTTTCTTTGCAGTTTGCATGAAGGGAAACCCAGTGGTTGATAGTCATTGCTTCTTGAAGGTGGTTTGATTTTGAAAGACAGAGTGACAAGACACATGAAAGATTGCTGGACACAATGTTTACATAGGTCTACAGATTTTCTTCAGTTACTGGGTTGGGGTTGGGCTGTTGTCTGCCTTTCTAGGGATATCAGGAATCTGTGTTCTTCTATTTTATAGGAGTCTTTCCCACTTAATTAAGTTTGTAAATGGGCACAGGTTATCTTTATCTTAAGATCTGAAAAGTATTTGGAGTGAACATACAATACAAGATTTAACTGAAATAGGAATTACCTTTTAAAAAATCATCAGTATATTATATCTTAATCACTCTGCATTAGTGTCTTCCTGCTTTTAGAAGCACTCCACGGAGGATGTACACAATTATGTCCTCAGAGGAAGCAGCCAACGGGAAGAAATCACACTGGGCAGAGTTGGAAATAAGTGGTAAGAATTTGAGGAATGGTCCTGAGTTATTAGTTAATTGCAAGTTAATAGTAGCCTACTTAGCATGGGTTCGAACAAGAAATCTGGAGCGGAGTTACCTACCTTGAAGTGAGCCAGCACACCAAGGTAGTAGCTGCAGCGTTGGAGTGTGTCAGGGTAAATGGTTGGGAAAACACAGGGAGCTGTGGGATAGGTGAATTGGGGTATTCTAACATGTGGAAGGTTGGGAAGATGAGGGTATGGATGTAAGCTCCTTGTGTGGGTGAGAACATGGATTTAAGATCTCATTTGTCAAAGAGAAGAGGGTGAAGTTGGGGTTGAAATATGGACATAGGCTGTTATTTTCAGTAATGTAACAACAGTGTCCATGACAGTATAGTTCCTATCGAAGCAGAAGTTTTCAGTTTAAGAGCAGTTGTAAATCTTTGCTCTGCTCTTGAGATTAAAACAAAAAAATCCTCCAAGAACTGTGCTAGCTTTGAGGTACTCTTTGACTTGTGAATCTTTTTTTGAGAATGAGGTCATGCTCAGAATTTAGAAACATGAATTTCAACTGGTGTAGGACACCAGTCTCTCTTGATTTGTGGAGTGAATTCTGATTTTGCTACATAAAGTGTGTTTACAAGAAAATTCAAACCAATTATTTTGTTTAAAAGATATTTTGTAATGTTGTAAATTGAGGCTGAAATTAAATATGGAGGTTATTTGAGAGATTGCCAGAAGTGCTATCTGGTATTTCTACTTGGCTGTACAATAGAGAAATTTATGGCAGGAAGAATAAAAATAGAGTTATTTGAATTGTGAAGAGAGTTTCCATCCAGATCACAGAATTTGTGCCTTGCTTCAAGTGCCACGTGCCTTAACATGTGAATAGCATCCTTTACTTGAAGGTTACAGATGCAGAAACTGAGTTAAGTGCTGCTTCAGGAATCAGCATTATGTATCAGCATTAGGCTTGGATATCCACTTGGACATCTGCTGCCTGTGCATAGGAAATGCATTAAGTGATGGCTCTTTCCTCTCATGCCTGGTAATCTCACTAGAGGCTGATTCCAGCCAAGAGAGGTGCAGGGAGTGAAGAGAGTGGGTGAGGGATGTTACTGGGAATCCTTTCAGCTCTAAGGGTTTCTTTGATCACAGTCGCTTGTTTGCATTGGGGCACGGGGAAGAGGTGTTCATTCCATTTAAAAAATGCAAAGAACTATTGATTTGTATTTAAAACCTTCCAGAAGATTTCTTAATGAGCATTACAGTAACATGAATCCTTGAAGACCTGCATGCATTTGCTTTGCAAAATAAAATGGCACAATGTTTTTGTTTAATTAATGTTCACACTGTCTTTTCCTAGTGAAATACTTGGTCATCTAACACAGAAAGCCACAAATATTTTAACTGTTGTCAATTATATCACTGAGCATTTTCACTGCAGGATTTTTTATGCCACTTACTTTCTTACAGCTCACTGGAAATTATGCCTTTATTAAAACTTTGTTACTAGGGTCCAAGTCCCAGATACATGTTTAGCAGTGTAGCTTTCCTCAGGCATGAAATATGACTTCTTTTGAAGAAAATAGTTTAAGGAAAGGAATTATAATGTGTGTACATTTGTATAATATTCACTAGATTGTTCTGAATATTGTTGAGTCACAGTGGGGTTTTTAAAGACTGTCACAAGTAACTTTTTGCCTTGGAGAAACTGGTGTTTGTTGGTACTTTTCTTCTAATGCTTTTCATACAGTGAGGTGAATTCTGTAAATGGAGAAGGAGCCTGGGGGGGGGGAAATCTTGGAGAGAATAAATGTTTTGAGACCTTCTGATGATATCTCACATTCTTTGCATGCAGGAATGTAAAAATCTTGATTCTGTCACACATATCCATGTTTCCACCCTTCAGTTTATACAAAAATTATACAATTTTTAAAAATATCTGGCAATAGTTTGTGCAGCTTTTAGTTGAATGCCAGATGGAAATCCATGTTCTCAACTAAGCATTTTAGTCACCCTAAATATAGTGCTTCTATCTGTTCTTGGCTGGATTAATGCCATAGAATAAAGATTTTTGGTTTGAAAGATGTTGTACAGAAAGAAGGGGCAAACTGGAGAAGCATATTTCATCACAAATGTGTTTCTTAACCCCTGTTAATGGTTGAATTCGTGGTCAGTTAGGAAATATGTCTGATTTTGTATGGAACTTGACAAAGACAGATGTTTAAACCATAAATATGGATTGGAAAAAACCCAATTTAAGCATCCCTGGCACCACTTTACATTCTCTTAAGCACTGCTGATTTTTTTTTTATCTATAGAATCGGTGATGAGTGGAATTTTCATTGAATAAAATAACAATAATAATAAAACCCAGCCAGAACTCCCCTTCAAGGTCCCACCTCCCCCACCCCCTTGTAAAATGTGTAATGATTGCTAAACCCGATTTTAAATCTTTTGTTTTCTTTTGTACCTTCTTCCGTCAGGGAAAGTGAGAAGCTTGAGTTCATCTTTGTGGACACTGACCCATTTGACAGCTTTGCATCTCAGTGACAATTCCTTATCCCGAATTCCTTCAGACATTGCCAAGCTTCACAATCTGGTTTATCTGGACCTGTCCTCTAATAAAATCCGCAGTTTACCAGCAGAGCTCGGAAACATGGTGTCACTCAGGTGTGTAAATCTTCACAGGAGTTAAAATTGGTCTCTTGTCATCTCTGTAGCAACTATTGAAATTGCAGCGTAATTTTTCTGTTCTAGTAAATGAAAAGCATAAACAGATTCCCCATTCCTCACTTATTTTTATCTGTCTCGCTGGATATTTGGTGTGGACTGCGCAGCTGTAGTGATGCTGGCTTTTCTGTGACCTGTTTGATAGGATGTCTCCAGGGATGGGACATACTGATTGGTGACAGTACAGGATGAGTTTCAGAAGGGCTTCGTTTGATAGCAATCACCCATTTTATGTCATGCCAAGTCAGGTTTCCTCTCTTACAGTTCTCTTTCCAGACTCTTTCACAAATCTTTATGAGGTATTTTTCTCTAAGCGATACTATTACACAAAAAATTGATTTTAACTCACAGTGAAGTAGGCAAAAGGTAAAATTAAACATTCATAATAATGCTAACTACATTTTCCCCCACTTTATTGATCTTTAGTTTATTTTTTGTTTATTTTTACAAGTCCAGCAGCTTGTCTTATATCATCTTCTTCCCACCTTTGCTATCATTCCCGTGCAAACTGGAGAGGAGAAAAAAAAATGTTCTAAACACACCTTTTTATTTTTCCTCTCAATTTTAGAATAACAAGATGTGCAAAGTTTGCATAGAATGATACCTCCTTTTTGAAGTGAAACACACATAGTGATGCCTATTTAGATTATAATTAAGGCTGCAGTGTTTCTTTTATTAAAAGTACTTATGTAATATATTTCATGATTTATGTAAGAGTAGGTATTTACAGGCAACATTCTTTTGCCCTTAACCCGAAGGAAGATCCTTATCTTACATTTACTAAAGTTACCAGGAACTGTCTTTGTTGCTTTTAATTTTGAAGACATTTATGGACAGCTTTTTCAAATCCAGAAAAGACTGAGTCTAAAAGTAATGAGAATGTTATTGGAACTAAAGAAGACAATAGAGAAAAGGACTGCCAGCACAGCTTTAATGAAACTGGAAGCAAAGCAAGTTTGCACATAGAAATATCAGTCACTGCATTTTCTGCTACTTTAGAAAAAGTCCACTCTGCTGGGGAGGATTAAACCAGCTGATTAAATTGGTACTAAAACCTACAATTCCAAAGCAGTTGAAGTCTCAACCTTGGAGGCTGAGCAAAGGGACCTTGCTTTCTAGAGCATAATTTGCAGCTGTTTCATGGTGTGTTCTATGGTTGTTTTGATCTGTGAAGCAGCCTGTTCTAAAGAAAGCTTTTTGTCCCTATTTCAATTAAAAGCAGTTATTGGTAACAGGTTTCTTCCTTCCTTTATCCACGCCTCAGGTGTTGTGAGCTAGCAATTCTGAATTTACTGGAACAACCTCAAATTAATCTTTGGACTTCCCTATCATCCTTACATTTTCATCAGTCTTCTTCCTTTTAAGCTGTTGTTGTAAATGTAATACTCATGAGATGGAGCTAGCTTGGTGCTGTGCAGTTGTCAGTAGTGCCAAATGCTGATAGGCCTTTTTCCCAATTTATTCTGGATGATTCTATGATGTTTCAGCTTTTCCAAGCCCTAGATCTCTTCTGAGTACAGAAGGCTAAATCTTGTGAATGTGCAATGTGTAGCTAAGTTCTAGGATCACACTAGTTTTCTATTTGTGTCTTAAACATAACACTTGAATCCAGATCTCTAGAGGTGAAAAGCTAGTGCATAAATCCACTGTGTGCTCTGTCCTCAGTAATTGCAGCTGATCCATAGTTTCTTTTCATGGGGGTGAAAGTGATAAATTAAAAACCCTAAGTGCATCCTATGTGATAATGCTCTGCAGGCCTCAGCTGTGCTGGAGTTTAATGTTTCAGGCTGGCTCTTACTGCAGACACTTCCCATGGCTTCTGGGAAGCTGTTCAGACTGATGGTAATTGAGCACTGGGTATTGCTGATATCCTGAGCCACAGAGATCATTTGTGCTGGTGCAGTTGAGAATTGATAACAGGTCTTGCAGCTCCTACATATGGAGCTCTGGGTTTGGTCTGCATGGCAAAGCTTGCCTGGGGCTCCTTGCATCTCCCTTCTTACTGCAGGTACTTGAAGGAGGTGTAGGAGAGAGCAGTGAGATTTGTGGTCTTTGTGGAAAGAGGAGAAAAAATAAGCACCTAGCATGTTATCTTGGAAAGCTCAGCTGTAAAACGGATTCTCTTGATATGCTTGACAGAACTGGTGGGATTTGCTGTGATCCCCTTTGCTGTGTAGAGGGGGTGGGTTCTGCAGAGGCAAGGATGATTAGGGAAAATAGTTATTTCATCCAAGTGAGGAAATGTAATGATACCTACTGCTGTGCCATCCTAGATTTTGTATATCTTTTTTGTAAGAGCCACATAACTTTTTTAAAACTTTCAGCAGTGCTTTGAAAAACTCAGAGGAAAAAGTAGCTTCCTAAAGAAGAGATGAGTAGCTCTGTAATGTCATATAGAAGATAATTGTAAAAATATTAGCCATTTAAATCCCAAATGGCCTTGGAAGTGCTGAGAATTAGTGGAGATGTTGTTTATTCTTCTTTAACTTTCTCATGTGCCTCATTCATATTTAGAAGCCCTAGAATGGCACAGTGGGCTTCTGAATTTCTCTCTAATGATGTGCTTTTCTCTGTGGGATTTTGTATTGAAATAAACCCCAGCTGCCTGTGTGTGTGATAGTCTGTCAACCAGTTGAGCAATGGTTTGACGTTTCTAGATAACCCAGTGAAATAAAAAGGAAGCCACCTCCTATGTCTTTCACACTTCCACACCTTAGTTTCTCTAAAACAAGCCACTTTTACCAAAGTTTATAAATATGCTGTGAAACACAGATAATTTCTCAGAAAGTCCTTGTTAGGGAAGGACCAGTCAGAGTTTACTTCTGAAATACAAAGCTAGAAATAGAGATGTGACCCTAGCTACAGTAACTCTTGGTATCCGGGTTGCCTTTTTTTTTTTTTTCTTTTTTCTTTTTTCCTCAAAATACTTTTCAAGTCTCAAGGCACCAAGTTGTAAACATTTTGAAATAGTAACATTACACTGAATGTGGTGAGGAAGGTCGTCACTGCTGTGATGGGAATGAATTTCAGAAAGTGAAAAGCTCCTTACAAGTCCCATCTTCTCAGCCCAATTTGTTGGAACATCAGAATTCAGGACATGAGTTCTGTTCTTGTTTGCATATTATTTTTGTAAGTTAAAAAGTCCTTATTTTGCCTTAGCACTGAAATTATGAAGCAAACAACAAAGTTACTCCTGTAAATTACTCTGACACAGTAATGTCACAGCTCTGATATCACTGCCTTGGTCTTGGATTTTTTGTTTATTGTGGGATATAATTTCCCTTTATTTGGCCTTTAATCATAGATGAACTGTTTAATTGTCTGGTTTGTCAGAGCTGTTACTGCTTCACCACTTGTAGTTATTATTTAGTTATTGCTAATGTTTACAAAATTTCTGACTTTTAAAGGTGAACTCACCAAACAATCCCTTTCCTCTGTACTCCAACATAATGTATATTTTGTCTATATGTGTGTGTTTGTATCCAGCAGGATTTTCCTGTTCTGTTTAGTCTCTGAATTTTTCAATATTGTGGTTCTCTGGCATATTGTTTCTGTTGTAGTTAAGCTTCTTGTACTATACTCTTAAAGACAAACATTGCTCTGTTTTCAGCCCTGTATGATTCTTGATCTTTCTGCAGGGAACTTCATTTAAATAACAACCTGTTACGAGTTCTACCTTTTGAGCTGGGAAAACTGTTCCAGTTACAGACTTTGGGTCTGAAAGGTATTGCTCCTTTTTCTTGGTATCTGTACTTTGTTTAATGATACTGATTCTGAGATGTGATGGCTGTGGACTGCTAGTTTATAAAATGTTGCTGAATTCGAGATGTGTAGCTGCTTACTTCACATTTATGAATACTGTTATTTAGGGATTATTTAAAAACAAACAAACAAACAAAACAAAACCAACACAAAACCCCCAAGTCTGACAAAGCACTCCCCATATAAAGAGGTTTGCTTCTTTCTGCAGAGGGAGAGGAAGCTTGATTGCTTGGGATTGGACACAGAGCTGCTTTAACTAAGAAATAGACTGCAGTAACTGTAGGTATTCAACCAGAAAGGGAAGGTGCTTTGTACGGCTGCAGGGCACTGTGCTGTTCATGCAAGCAGCAATTTAAATATTCCTCCATTTATTTATTTTTTTTCCTCTGAACTGTACGGATTCTCGCTTTAAAACTGCTATCCTTGAGGGAACCTGTGTCACAGAACCAGGAGCACAGAGTGATGTAATACCTTTAAACACTGTTAAGCCTCAGAAGTCTGCCTTTCTTCCCCTTAAAACTGGATAATTGCAGTGTGTGTTGCCTGTGAAAACTGTAAGCTGTGCAAGCTGCTTACACGTTGGGCAGATCATAGACTCTACTCAAATATGACTGGCAACCTGGTGGTGGATGTTCCACTCATGTTAAGCAAAGTGAACAGAGGAGGCTCCTGTGTTTGGCCTCCCCAGCTTTGCCTTTGTGTTGACCACACCAGTTCTTCACCTCTGTGAGATCCAGCGACCACCCTTGGAGTCATCACTCAGAAGACAGACCCAGGAGGGAACGTTGTTACCTTCACTAGAGCTATTCACACATCTAGTGTTTTGTGGGATTGAAGACCTGGGATCCAAAACCTTTAAGTAGCTCATAGTAGATGCACTTTCTCTTCTTTGAGGTGCCAGCTTTAAAGGTTGATGTGTAAGTTCATACTGGTTCTGTGTATTTCATACAATATTTCTGAAAATCTGTTTGCAGGAAACCCACTAACACAGGATATTCTGAACCTTTATCAGGAACCAGATGGGACGCGAAGGCTACTGAACTATTTGCTTGATAATTTGGCAGGTACTGCAAAAAGAAGTAAGTGAACATTCTTAAAACATTCATTTTGGCTGTGTAAAATAAATTTGATTATCACTTGTTGTATCTCTATTTTTAAATGTTCCCATAGTTTCAACAGAACAGCCACCTCCAAGATCTTGGATCATGTTGCAAGAACCAGACCGTACAAGACCAACAGGTACTGTAACACTTCAAGAAATTTTCCTTGTATTTTTGTTTTCCTTTTATAAAAGGTGTTGATCTTTACTAGCTACTGAAAAAAAAAACCCAATTAGTGCTTAAATTAACCAATCATCTGTGCAGTGCTGACCAGCTGGCTAATCTCAAATGGAACACATGTTCCGGATTTACCCATCTCTTCATTTAAAGTAATTTCTTTTTAATTAATGTCCTCCTCACAGGAATTGAAACTGTTATCCACAGTTAGTTAAAGAGGAATTGTAACAGGCTTAATTGAGCATTTGTTGAAAAATGAAAAAAAAAGAACACCGTGAGCATAATTTCCCAAAAATGTAGATTTATTTTTTTTTTTGAGTAAGTGATGTATCATCTTTGGCTCAGCAGGTCATGTTTAATTGTTTACTGGTTTGTGGGTTTTTTGCATGATTAGCATAAAATGCAGCCTTTCCTATTTACCTGCACACCAAGAAGTGTATTTTTCCATCATTGCAGTGTCCTCTCTTTCAGAACTGCTGTACATTCCTTTCCCCTATTGATTTTAAGATGGTTACTTCAAACCTCATGTGAATGCAGCCTGTCTTTTCCTGTCACCTACTTATTTTCAAATTGCTGGGCTTTGACCCCGAATCAGCCCAAGATTCTTGCCTCAATTTGCTAGACCTTCAAACAATTGTCTTGTTTCTTTTCCCTGAGCTGTACTCCAGGTTTGAGCTTCCCAATAAGCTTCTGTGCTTTCATACTGAGAATTCCTTAGTGCTTTTTAAAAACATAGAAAACCCACAACAAAACAAGACCCCAAATCCGTGCTGCTGGATTACCTGCCAAGTTGCCCCAGACTGTCTCATTATTATTATTATTGTTCCAAATTAATACAGAGAGTAGTTGTTTCTTGACACTGGAATTGTCAGATTTTGAGGTGGAAACATTTGGGGTTTTATTTTGCCTGTACTTTTTTCATGGTGCAAAGGGATCATTACCCTGTCTCTAGATCTTTTACAGTTTGTGGTGGTATAACAGGTAGATTTTTAATCTATTTGAAGAGCTTTGTATAGCTAGCAAATGTCAGTGTACCAATGCACTTACCTTGTTTCAGGCTTTTCACAGTAGAGCACCTCTTAGCATGAAGTAGGTTTGCCTGCTATAGTAAACTGCACTAACCATAAAAAGAGGGGGTTTTGTTTTTGTTTTCTGATTACATGCTAGAAGACAGATGCCAGAAGTCCAAACTTGTAATTTATTTTAGGACTAACAACTATTTGTTTTTAGTATTGATACACAAGCTGTGCTTTGATTGAAGCAGATGAGGCATGGATTGAGAAATTTTAGAAGACAAAAGTGAGGAACATAATTGTAGATACATGTATTTTGTTGTTGTTAAAGATATCAGCATGTGAGTAGAATTCTTGTTCTGCAGCTTTATTCTCTGTCATGTGTTACAACGTACTCTGTGATAAATACGCTACCCGGCAGCTGTATGGCTATTGTCCCTCCTGGGCATTGAACTGGGAATACAGAAAAAAAGCCATTATGCAGGAAATCCTGAGCTGCAATGCTGACATCATAAGCCTTCAGGTAAAAGATATACTATTACTTCTTTTCCATTTCTATTCCCACAGGCTGGTTTCTCTATATTAAATGTATTTACAGTAAACGGTCTGTTTGCAAAAGCACCTGAAAAGGAGAGAAAACAGAAGTAGTGTTTAGGACATTGTTTGTTGCTTGACATCAAAAGAATGTTTTTCAGCCTACATGGCTGGAATGGGAACCAGCAGCTGCTGATCAAAGCAGTGTACATGGGGGTATCTTTGTGCCTGTGTGTGTATGTGGGGATGTAATTGACACATTTTCAAGTAAAAGGCTTGAGATAATCGTAACTCTGGGGATTACAGAAATTCATTTATATTTTCCTAAAATAGAGGTGTTGCTCTCAAATTTGCATTCTCTGATGTACTTAATTCTTACTTTTTTTTTCCCCTCAAATCTAATTTGAAAGTGATTTACACTTCTGAAGAGTATAAATAATATCAGTCCTCTGGATTTTGCTAGTAGTACATTCATGCTGTGCTGTCTTAAAACTTCACAGGAGGTTGAAACGGAACAGTACTACAGTTTTTTCCTCGTAGAGTTGAAGGAACGTGGCTACAATGGATTCTTCAGTCCAAAATCTAGAGCTAGGACAATGTCAGAGCAGGAAAGAAAACATGTTGATGGTTGTGCAATATTTTTCAAAACAGAAAAGTAAGTGATGTGTTTTGCAAAGCCTCTGTTGTGTGTCCTGCTCTCTTTTACGTAATTTCTCAGGTCAGTCTGTTGCTCAGTTTGGCATTAGTCCCCTTTTTGTAGCCATTCAGTGTTTCTGGTAAAGCATTGTTATGGTTAGAAAGAGTGGGCTGGATGAGAAGAATCATTCTGTGCCTCAGTAGCAACAGAAAATTTTACCATGAAGTTCTGCTCAAGTTGAGGTTCATTCCATTAAAGCTATGTGTGTTAGGAGGCCACTAAATTATACTTCAATTGTTGAGTGTGTTTGTCCCAACCATTAGATGCTAATAAAGAAAAATGAAGCAAATGTCTTGTTTTCTTCCTTTTCTTCGATTGAAGAAATTGATAAGCCCCAAAATTGCTGAAATAAGACCTCAGATTACTTTGACTTTTTGATGCTTCAGCCTTCTAATAAAGCAAAAGACAAGGCACTTAATATCACTGCTGGCTTCTAAAAAAAAAAAGCCATTATTTAAGAGCTGCAGCACTTACTGTGTCGTATTGTACTTGCACAGCTGTTAGGTTCTAAGGGTGATCATTTGTCTTCCTCCTCATGCTTTCATTCTTTTATGTCAACAAGTAAATGTAGGTGCCAGGTTTGATTCCTTTTGGCTTAGAAAAATGACTTGTTCTGTCTATTAAACCTGTGTCTTTGAACTAGAAACTGGTGCAGAATTAGAAACAAGCACTCCTTTCCTCTGGTTTCTATCTCTCTAGAAATAAAACCTTTAATTGAAATTAAGGTAGTATAAAATATATAAAAATGGCTGGGAAGACTATCTTTTAAGTTCAGCTTAGGAATTTAGGAAATTATGTGATTGGCTGAGATTTTCACATCATAAAGGTGTTTGAGCTTTAATTAAGAGGAGAATTACCTATAACATTTGTATTTAGCTGCTGAAAAAAAACATATATGATGTTTCTCTTCCAGATTTACTTTGGTTCAAAAACATACTGTTGAGTTCAATCAACTAGCTATGGCAAACTCAGAAGGTTCAGAAGCCATGCTGAACAGAGTTATGACAAAAGACAACATTGGAGTAGCTGTGTTGCTAGAACTGCGAAAGGAATTGATAGAAATGTCATGTAAGTCCTATTTAGTTTTAATTTTTTAATGTAATGTATGTTGTAAATGAAAAAATTGATGTATTTATTTTTTTATAGTAAACCACAAAAACTAGGCTCTGCAGATGACTACAACTTTGCACCTTGTCTGCTCAGATATCAAAAGAGGATTTGGGGAAAAGTCATATTGCTTAAATGGTCAAGGTTTTTTTCCATTTTCACCTTTTTGCTTAGAAAATACAAAGATTTGAGTTTGAGTGATTTTTTTTTTTTTTTTTTTTTTTTTCCTGATATTATGTACAGGTATCAAAATGTCAGCTGGTGTTAGTCAAGTGTTTCTGGGTCATGTATTTGCATAATTTTAGCTTGTTTTTTCACTGTTGTGCCTACAGAACCTTGTCTTTCCTGTTATTCTTAATTTAGGAAATGTAAACTGGCTTTATAAGTATCACAGTGGGTACCTACTCAGTCTGTTCTATTTCTCCAAATGATTGTTTATTAATTCAAATTTTAATAAAGAAGCTTTTTAAGAAGCCCTTCTAGCAAGAGAGGTGACTTTATAATGTCGATAACTTAAAATTTGAAGTTCATTGTCTGATAAAATACAAGCGGTCTGTGTTTATTATCACAGCCTGAGGAAAACTTGTTAATTTTTAAAACCACACTATTTTTCTTTAATTAGGATTATCTGTTATTAATGTTAATTCACAGTATTTTTAGGTACATTAGCATTACCCGAAACAAGATAGTCTGTTAATGGTCTTGAATCTGATTCAAGACCATTGATATAAAGCATTCAAGAACATCAACTAAAACACTGAGTAGATACAAGAGAGGTTGTTTGACCCTCTGAAACTAAATGGCATTAACCCTCTTCAAGTTAAACTGGTGGTTGGCTTTTTTCCTCCCCTCAAACATCTTGTTTAAAATTCAATAATAGGGTTTTTTTTTATGCTGTCTGTATAAGGTAAATAATTGGTTCTTAATTTTAGCTGGAAAGCCACATCTTGGGATGGAAAAGCAGCTAGTTCTTGTTGCTAATGCACATATGCATTGGGACCCAGATTATTCTGATGTGAAGCTGGTTCAGACTATGATGTTCCTGTCTGAGGTAAAGAACATTATTGATAAAGCTTCTCGTAGTCTCAAACCTGGTGTTTCGGGAGAACTTGGAACCATTCCACTTGTTCTGTGTGCAGATCTCAATTCTCTACCAGACTCTGGTAAGAGTTCTATTTCTTACTTATTTTTAGACTGTTTCAAGTGTGTAATGATTTAAATGTTAAGCTCTTGACTTTTAAATTTTGAAAGACTGTTCAACTTGGGGAATATGTTGTTTGATTTCATAATCTCTAAAGGCACTAAGAAAACAGGAGTAAGAGAGAAAAGATAGAACTGTTTCTTTTGTGAGTACTTCATGCCTATACAGTAGTGTAGCTGTGTCTGGTGCTTCAGAAGCTTTTTCATTGTTATAATACAGGAATGGAAAGAATAAAATATCTTCCAAAAATAACTAGTCAGTTTGGCTTTGCAGCCTTTTTGAAGTTAAGTTTATTTGATGTAGTGTCACAAAAGTTGGCTTTTTTACAATATTTTAGCCGAAGAACATAGGAAGCTAAGACTTGAGCCCAGAGAGGAGGAAGCTGCACATCACAAGCATCTATAGAATTTTACTTGCACTTCTTTAATCTTTGCATCTAGTCAGTCAGTTCCTAATGAACCTTCTAGTTTTTTCTAACCATAGCATGTCTCACTTTGTTGTAGGTGATATTTGCTCTTGACATGCAAATAGATTGTCTTGAAATACTTTGTAAGAACAACTAGTGACTGTGTTGTGTAAGTGTTGAGGTTTTGCTTTTATAATGCCTAAGGTTGCAGGTATGACTCAAAATGACAACACACCTCCTGAATGCATGTTAATACCCTCTTGTGTGTATGCCTCTCCTCACAGGTGTTGTTGAGTACTTGAGCACTGGTGGAGTGGAAACAAACCACAAAGATTTTAAGGAACTGAGATACAATGAAAGTCTTACTAACTTCAGCTGTAATGGGAAAAATGGAACAACAAATGGAAGAATTACACATGGTTTCAAGTTGAAGAGTGCCTATGAGAATGGTCTAATGCCTTATACAAATTACACATTTGACTTCAAGGTAAGGAATTGGCTGAAGTTTTGGAAAAGTTGCATGAAATTGCTTGACAAAGACTGTAACCCATTTGGGCAGCTAACAGTACATTCACCAAATTTATATTTAAAACATAGTGAACTAGATTGCTCAACACTTCAGTCTCCTGGAAACCAAATATTCCTTTTTCTTGTTAGTACCTTGTAATAGATTTGCAGGAGCTGGGGTGCTGTTAACCTTCCCTGAAAACAGAAAGATTTTGTATTTTAATACTCCATGCTAAATTAAATTATACAAGAGAGCTACTTAAAACTGTCAACTGCAAGGAAATAATCTATGTTGCTACTGGAAAACTCAGAGCTTTGTTGCCCAGGGGAAACAAAGGTGGCTCTTTTCCTCTCCAAAATCAGAGGAATGTGATTTGAAGCTTTTGTAGGAGGCTGGAAGTTACAACCAACAAAAGCAGAGCAGAAGTGGTACTTTTTGTTTTCCTAGTCTCTATTGAGCAGCCCATGGGATATAGCATGCAGAATGCTCCTAAATAGATGATGTTCTCTGGAGAAGAAGTAGCAGCATTTCACTTGCTGATAATACTGAGCTCTCCTTTTGTTTGGAACAAAACCTTGAGTCAAGAATATATTCTAATAATTCATTTTATTTCTTCTCTTGTTTTAGGGTATTATTGACTACATCTTCTACTCTAAACCTCAGCTAAACATACTTGGCATTCTTGGACCTTTGGATCATCATTGGTTAATAGAGAACAATATAAGTGGTTGTCCCCATCCACTCATCCCTTCTGACCACTTCTCACTTTTTGCACAACTGGAGCTTTTGCTGCCTTTCCTGCCTCCTGTAAATGGAATCCATCTCCCTGGCAGGAGGTAGTCAAGTACATTTTAGAGGGCAACCTCAATCTAACTTGTACAATTGTAAAATCTGAATATAGAGGAGTGAGGTATGGCCAACAGGGATTTTTTTTTGTTTTGTTTCTTAATAATCTTAATCTTAAATCTAATTATTTGCTAAAGACATAGTAAAAGCCAGGTGCTATCAACAGACACAATTCTGAGCCCAAGATACTTTGTATACTGTTTGACAGCGATTGGTGTGTTTGCACCTTTCTTTAGTACGTTACAATTAACCTTCCTGTTTCTTTTATCCAACGTGACATTTTCATGCCTTGAAAATAGGGAATTGTTATACAGTGTATTCTCTTTGCACAGTTATCTGTAGCACTACTTTTTTGAGGCCAGTAGGAACATCCACAGAACATTCTTCCGTACTTCACTCCCTCCTTTTTCAGACTTCTTTGTAAAATATAGAATTTGAATTTAGCCTTTATTGATTGTATATGAACAACAGAAAACCTGATTTATGAGATTTTGTACTTTAAAAAAAGAAAGATCAGATTTGGAAAATGATTGTATTGTAAACTAAGGCTAAATTTTTATCTGTTTTCATGTGTTATAAAGGCCAGCTTGTAAAAGAGGTTGTCACAGGTTTTCTCTGCTAATGATTTGCACTGTTGGGGTTTTGTTAGCCCTTTTGTACTACTTTTTATGTTCAATTGAGAACGTTGCTTTTAAAATCCAAACCTATAAAATCTTAATATCTTACAGAGATCTAAGTACATTGTCTATTTCTGATTTAAAAAAAAAAAAAAGGAAAAAAGGCAAGCATCAAGTTTTCACAGAGCAGATAAGCTAAGCAGTGAGTATAAGTAGACCTGTATGGATTGAAAGTATTGCTGATGTGTATACACTCAGATATTTTTCTCATCTCTAACTTTTGAAGTAAAATTTAGGGATACTTGTGTACAGCTTCTTCATTTCTGTTTCAAATACTTGTCCTCTCTCCACTGTGCCTGCTTAAATTTGTTCTCAACTAGCACTGCCTGTGCATGCAGAGAGATCCTGTGCATCCTCTTTTATTTTTTTAAATAATGTTAAGACTTGTGAAAATTTTATGAAGATACTTTTGTATAAGCTGTGGCATCTGTTTTTTTTCCTTTGTGAAGCATTGAATATCACACTTTTCAAACGTGTTCAGGTTATGGGTACACAGTTTCTAGCTTCTAATACCCATGCACTGCTTCTTTTAGTGTCATTGCACAGTGCTGTTTTTTCCCTAACCTAAGAATTACTATCATGTGAATTCTCTTTCATTTAAGTGTGTTCCTCAGTTTCAGAAAGTATAATTCCTTGAAGTAAAAAAACAACCAACCTTACATTTTCTATTGATGAAGCAGTGTAAAATAAATGCATTTTCAATACAGGTCCCAAAGACAATTCTTCAGATCATTTTTTTTAAAGTGACCAAGTCTTATTTTAAAGTGTCAAGCAAGACTGAAGTTGTAGTGTACCCTTAGTGCCATTTGTGTCATGAAGCCAAGTATGTAACAGCTTAAAAATTACATTGTCTATTTGTATCCTAAAAGGGAGAATTTATCATCTCCTTAAAGTAATACAACTTGAATAATCAATGTAAAAAAAAAAATAATTAAAAGAGATAGAGAGCTTGGTCTTAAACAGCTTTTGTTTCAGCTGCGGGCAGGGAAGCAAAAGGACACTGAGCATTAAAAAAAAACTTTCTAAATATTGTGAATTTTTATATATAAGAGAGTGGATTGGTAATAATGATTCAAAATTTTATTGCAAAGTAGTCAGCACATGAGTGTGCTCAGACTGTTCTGTTTGAAGCTGAAAGGAAAAATCACTAACAGTTCTGTTATGTAAAATACACATTTTAAAACTTCCAATAGGAGAATCTTTGATCTTGAATCCTTGTCTGGGACCTGATCTCTTGGGGTTACTTTGTTTTGGTTTTAGTTGTGAAAACACCAAACATGTCCAGTTTATAATCAGTACATTGAAATGCTGGTAGTATTGCTGTAGTAGATTTAATGCGTAGTGTTATTTTTATTTTTATTTTCTGTTTGTTTCTTTGGGGTTTTTTGTAAAGTGTGAATAAAAGGTGTTTTACTCATGTTTCCTTAATGATGTCTTGGTAATGTACATCATGACAATTTCCAGTGATGATGAGCCAGTTTAGCTTGTCAAACCGAGCAAACTATTTTTCTTTTCTGATTATCTGGCTTGTGTAATGAGTCCAGAAAGCTTTACGGAAGGGGAAGGGAAGCACTTACTCATTTTATATTTCTTAGAGGGGGATAATTTACTTTTAATAGATGCTGGAGCTTGAGTGCACTTGTTAGATTCTAAAGGTTTGAGCTTTATCCAATATGTGTTCTCCTGTATTGCTTAATCTTCAAAAATATTTGAATTTGTGACAGCATGTTAAAATACGGCCCTTTGTGCTTTTGGAGACAAAACTGTTCCTACTTCATCACCTTACAGTCCAAGGGTCCATTTAAAGAACCTTTTCCTCCAGCTTTTATACTAATCCATCAGGTCCCACTTGAAAACCCACTGAATACATTGAAGACACTCCTTTGACTTCACTGGGTTTTACCTGGACTACAGCTCGGGGGCTGAAGGAAGGAGAAATATTTTGAGTATAGGGAAAG